AAACTTTCAGAGAGAGAGAGAGAGAGAGAGAGAGAGAGAGAGAGAGAGAGAGCATAATTACAACACGGATCTACGACTACATCGACGGTGTCTCGAAACTGTCAGATCGTCAAATTTATATGTACACCGAACACGTAGTGAGGCAGGTGGATGTACAGCGCGGTACCGGATATCACATGCGCATCTTGACATTCGCTGTCGGCTTACGGGTGCGCTACAATTTGTTTTCTTTCCATTTTGCTGTATGTGTGTTCACTTTTTGTTTCACTTCCTTCAAAGTAAAACAGGTACACGTGTACAAGCGTAGACGCGCGTGAATGAGCGTTCTGATCGATTTTTGCAATTCCCGAGTGATCGGCCGTGTCGGCTGACTGTGGAGAAATGTCGTCGCAGCGTAGCGTAGCGTAGAATAATATTCGTCATGAAGCGCGGGAACAATCAGCTTTCGTTTGTTCCCCGTCGAATCGAAAGGGCTCGAGCTCGTTGAAGTACGGTTGAATACCGTTCGAATTTCTCGGCCACCGGGAAATCACGAGCGCTAATTGAGACGTTACAGCGGCAAAAGCAAGCGGAGCTTCGGGCGAATGATCAATCACGGTTTCGCCTACCATGGAAGCGCTATTACGAAAATAACAAATCGGAACCGTTTGTCGTGCGTGTTGTGTATTTTTTATTTGGTTCGCCAGTAATTTCATTTTTGCGAGTAAGGACAGTGTGTTGTGGTCGATCGTTCCACTCGGTTGAACGGATATGTGTAACGCAAAATATGGATTTTATAATCGACTATCGAAAATAACGGTCGGTTATTAAACTCAAAAGAGAAAACGGAAAATCTAACGCGAATCGATCGATTTGATTTTTTTGTTCTTCGGAAAAGGACTGACTTTTCCCGTGGAAAAATCGGAGAAAGACGTAGCTTCGAAAAGTGTAAGAAAAGAGATAATATTAATGAAAATACACCGAAAGAATCCGGATGCAGGCGAACCTCGCGTTCGCGCGAGGGAACAAGGAGCAGAAAGCAATTTCCTGCGATTAAATGTCTGTTTCTTCGTATAACCTAGCCAAGATAGATTCTCGCGGAATTCGTTGCAACTTGACAAAATCGATTTAGGCTCGCTTAACAAGTCGACAGGTTTGCTTAAGTAGTACAAGCGCGCTGACAACAACGCGATCCCGGCCGTCGTTTGGAAGCCAAATGCAGCTCGACCGCGGCTCGATCGGCTCGCTAACGAGACCGTGATGCCGCCGATGATGATTCCCGTTGGCACTCGTCGTCGAATCCCCGGGTGAGTCTGCACGAGGCGACCTCGAAGATCGGGCGAGCGTGAGTGGCAGCAACGGCGCCGGGTATTCACTCGTGACGATTCGATTCAATCTGGTCCTCGAAGGCGTCCAGATTAATCTCGCCGGTGATCTTATTCAGACTGTTGCAAAGACGAAGTAGCCTCAGCACGTCTGGATGGAGCTCCCCGTCGCTGATCACGCCGCTCGACACGAGCACCGAACACACCGCGGACAGATCGAGATCGGCCGGCACGACTTGTATGTGTGTGTTACGGCCAAACCTGTTTCAAAAACGTCAAAATGTATAAAATTATTTATTTATCTTGATCAGCGGCAAGAGAAGAGGAATGAGATGAATAGATAGATAAAGGCATTTATTGACATTCTGGAATTAATTCTCTAAGGGATGATTTTACAATAGAAATTTAAACTTGATTAATTCAAGTTTAAATTTCTATTGTAAAATCTATTCTAACAAATCTATTCTATTGTTTAAACTTTATTCTAACAATGCGTTTGTTTTGTTTAAACAGAGTTCAAGTTGAAATCTAAGTTTCTATCATTGAAATTATCATTGAAAAATCGGCCCTCGTATTATAATAGTTGCCACGTGAAGCTTGTCTCGTGTGAGATACTTTGATTTTTTATCTAAAGATCTGAATTTTTTAGTTAAATTATACGAATATGCATAGATTTGTATACAATAAATTGCATACTCTCGCTTATGGTTGATAACAAGATTGAAGGACAAAGATATGTTAAGTCAAATGCTTTCTCTGTCATATAGTATTCTAGGAAAAGACGATTTAGGAGAAATAAAAGAGAGAGAGAGTAAAAGCATAGCGAAAGAGAAAGAGGATACGTTGATCATGTGATCGCTTTTCTTCCTTCGTTCTTTCCATCAATTAGACGATTAGACAAGGAAAGTATCTTACTCCCTATTGCCCTCTCTTATTAATGCTGACTTTATCCTTTCTACAGCAATGCGCAGTCTAGTCTATAGATATATGTAACATTTATATGGATTTGGTTATAGATTTGGTTATAGCGTACAAGTGTGTGGATGTTTGATTAACGTGGTGCGTGAATTTGAAATGATTTTAGTATATTGAATTGAATATAGAGGGTCAGATATAGAAGAAGTTATGTAAGAATGAATGCATATATAGTGTGTAAGTAAAGACAAAACAAGGTGTTAGGTAGTAAAGTACGATTCACGGCGTAAAAAGTGCATAAATAATAGAGATTATGGTGTCATAAGGAACGATTAATTAGAATAGTGTAAGTAATGCAGATAATGCTTAAATTATTGTGATAATTCAGAGGAAATTATCGATAAAAGAAATATATAATAGAGGAGACAAAAGTACATACAAGGGATGGAGGAAGAAGAAGATACAAGAAATGAAGAGGAAAAATATGGTCGTCGAATTGAATAAAGGAACAAGATAAAAGTACACAGAAGATAAATGACACAAGAACTGGTAGGAGAGATGCTATGTAAGAAAGGTAAAGTACAAAGAATAAGAGGAAGGTTGTAGAATATGGAAAACTTCTTGGACGATATAAGCTAAGGAAAATATACTAATACTGATGTGACATTTATAACAGCAATCGCGATTTAACTGAAAAACTTTCATCTAATTCTGAATTCAAGTCTAAATATCTTGAGACGAGTTTCAAGTAATTAATAGAGACCTAAGAACGCGTGAGCTATATTGAGAAAACACAAATAAAATAGATATAAGAAATGTAATATGAAAAAGAAAATATAAACATGGAAGTGTTTGAAAATTGTGTGTTTGTGGATAACAAATATGAAAGGAAAAAGTAAAATAAGAATAAAATAAAAATAGAATGATTAGATACAATTAAGCATAAAAAGAAAATATGAAAACAAATGTGAAAAATGAATAACGTGGGAGAATGAGAAATAAAGATACGTATTTAAAACGAGTCGCGTGCAAAGGAAAGAATGAGAAATAAAGATACGTATTTAAAACGAGTCGCGTGCAAAGGAAAGACAGTAGCCGTAATTACAAGACAATTAAAACACGAAGTAGCAATTCTTCGTTAGAAAGTTAGAATAAAGAAAAAGAAACATATTAAACATTTCGAAAAGCTATTTTAGCAGATCTGATTATACTGTCGGCATCAACGCGAATCTATGTATCTTTGACAAATTTTTCAGTCGTTAAGCCATTCATAAAGAATTATACAAATATCGAACTTTATAGTTCTCGTCGAAATCGAAAAATTTTGTGCGTGGAGAATTTTTGTCCAACAGGTATTCTTTCCGACTTCTCTCACGCGGAAGCACTTTCATGCCGACTGGACTATTGATAACTAGTTGTTCCACATCTGTCCTATATCGTACCTTCATATCCTACATCGTTCAAAATACATGAAAGCGCATCTCCTTGACACGCGTCGCGACGCAATTCAGAGGAAAACGAGATAATACATTAACTATAACCGGGAAAAATGATCGTGTTACACGATGCGCGAGAGTTTCCGGTGTCCTTGCGGCGTAGGAGGCAGAGCAAAAGCAGGCTGAGATGAGTCTCTGGTGCATCGGTTACAGTATAACGTCACCGACCATTTCCCCGCTTTAAAGTCTCCTCCGATTGTGACACACGATAGTTAAGTGTTGCGCTCGAGAGCCTTTATACTCTTACGTACGTTACACGCGCCCGCGCGAGCGCGCGTTATTTTCTTTTTTCTGTGCGTCCTTATCTCTAGACGACCTTACGGCAAATAATAATTCACAATTTTGCGGCCACTCACGACGCTTCCATGAATATACATGCGCTACACCTATATTTATCAACGTACACCTGTGTTCTTGCTTACTGTATACATCACGAATATTGCATGCGAGCTCATCGCGCTACACCCTGTTCTTTCTTGAGAAGTTGTACCTGACAATATTGCTGCGATATTCAACCCGACCTCGTTGCTTAAACACCGCGCAATATACGACATCGCGTAAAATGTGTTTGTGTAACAGATTTTTAATGGAAATTTGGTACGTTATATGCATCAATATATATGAATATCCGAATGAGCATACTCATAAGGAACATTCGCGAAGTGTGTGTCTCCGATTTCGATGAAACTTGGCATATTTGTAGAGTGACCAAAAATAAGAGACCCATATTTTTTTTATTGGCAATGGCGCAGGTTTAAGGGCCGAAACCTCAAAGTTTCATGCCCTTTTTACTATCTCTATAACTGTTGGAGATAGAAAAAAAACTTTTTAGACAAAAGTTATGCGGTTTTTTATCAAAAATAAAATGGGCTAAAGTTTTTTTTCTATCTTCAATAGTTACAGAGATAGCAAAAAGGACATGAAACTTTGAGAGGTAATTTCACTCCTTAAACCTGAGCCATTGTCGATAAAAAATATGGGTCTTTTATTTTTGGCCATTCTATAAATATGCCAAGTTTCAACGAAACCGGAGACACACGCTTCGCGAATGTTCCTTGTCAGATAGATACATTAGTAAAACAATTTCGTTGGTGTTACTAAATTTTCCGTTGCTTTATAAAAATAGGGATCAAATAAAAAACTTGTAGATTGTAGGAACAGAGAAATTTCTGTAAGAGGTTTCAACTCAGCCGATTGTTATCAGTTATTGCAACCAAGTTTCACGACAGTTTCATGAATTTTCAAAGAAACCTTTTCGGTTGAAGTAACAGAGACATCACATCATGGTTGAATTTTCATCTTGTCTGTATTCAGTTGCATAAAATGAGACTTTTCTTCCTGCGTAAATGTTTGTAAATTTTGCAGTAACTTTATTAGTCGACTTGTTGCATTTCTTATTCGTATGGTACTCATATTTAGTACGTAGAAATACGAGAAAAGAATCATCAAAATTAACTCAAGATATCATGTAAAATGTAACATGAAAATCTGAACATAATACATAGAAATCTGAGTGTAATTTTCAATAAATCTGTTATATTAATGCGATAAAAAATATAAAAAATAATGTAAATTTAAAGATTAATTTTACCTATAAATATAATATAAATTTAATTATTAATTCCATATTTTCTTTATCAATTTAATTGGAAAGATTTTAATATTTTCATCATCGATTGCTTCATGTCGTGGTGGAGAAGTCTATTTGGGAAATCCTTTAAAAAATGTTACTTTAATTTGTTGCAACATCATAGTTCCAACGAGAATTAATGCAAAATCGAATATATCCGAAAAAGCCACTGCGCAATTACCCAAAGTGCCGTAATTTTCCCATAATTAGACTTCCCTCATTGCTAATTAAACTTTCCACTCGTAGAATCCTCCGTTCAAATCCTTTGTTCATGAGTCGATGTTACATCCCGACATTACCGGAGTTCGAGATGCGATAACAAAACGAACGAGTTACCTGATGAAATTCGCGTCGTTCCTCCCTCGCTTGAAGTTGGACCGGCCGAATCTGATGACGACGTCCGATTGCTTCCATCGCGGATGCCTGCTGACCTTCGAGTCGGCTTCGCCATCCGACACGAGATTCTCATATGCAGCTTGACCACGTCCGAACCTGATAAAGCTGGAGGAACTGCTACGTCTTTCCTTGGAGTCCGCGTCTTTGCCATTGACGCTACTCTCGTCGATGCCGTGTCTCTTCAGCACATACTCGAACTCGTTCGGTGGATCCTTGAAGATCCGAAGACTACCGTCGTCCTTGAGTGGCGTCAAGATCGACGAGGACGCGAACGCCCAATTGCAGAGAAACGCCGTCGCGTGAAGAGTCCAAAGTGTGATCTGCGTCGGCATGAAAAATTGCATTGCGAAATTGATCGCGTGTTTAACGCACTCTGCCACGCGTCTTATCACGAGTTGGTCTTTAGAACTCATCAGACAGTCTAGCCTTAACCCTTTTGCCGCGGAAAGTACAGGATGAGGCGCGTAAAGTGTGACAAGTGAATTTCAACAATTGACGACAAAAGATGTTATGAGGCAAAGTTAAAATGCTTTATATGTTCAGCCAGATGTGTATGTGTGCGTGCGTGCGTGCGTGCGTGCGTGCGTGCGTGCGTGCGTGCGTGCGTGCGTGCGTGCGTGCGTGTGTGTGTGTGTGTGTGTGTGTGTGTGTGTGTGTGTGTGTGTGTGTGTGTGTGTGTAAGGTTACATTTTTGGATATATTTATTTTTTGTATATAAATGCATCGAAAGAACTGAATTCATCTCTATCAGACGGTGAATATGTACAATTGCCTATATCTGTACGATTTCCAAATGAAGTACCGTGGTAAAAAAGTTCAAACTAAGATCGCGAGTTGTTTACAATGACGGACAGAAGGATTGATACACTTTTGATACGTTTCAAAATTTGACATAGAATATAAAATGAGGCGCGTCATATGTAAATATCCCTAAAAATATGAGTAGTAGAAATAAGATTTTATCAAGCAAATTTAAAATATTTTAAAAGTTACAACTGTTGGATACAATTTAATTTTCTCTATATAAAATCGCAATTCAATAAAGAATCTATCTTTTGAAAATTTTTTAAGAACCAATTTTTCCATTAGATGTCGATTGGTTTTTGCATTTTTCTGAGAAAAAGTGTATAAATAAGAGCGTGAAGTCTATTTTTTAAAGCTACACTTTCTGAACTATTTTGCAATGTTTCTATTTCCTTTTCTCTTCCACCAAGTGCCAAATACGTGTTAATATGTCTACTTTTTTTAATTGCAGACAGTGCAATTCAGCGCAACTATAAGAAAACAGATCTCTTTATACTGGCGGTTGTAGCTATTTCCACCCCTTCCCTGTTCGACCTCCTAAGAGTGTATTCCATTTGGCGATCGCGTTGCCGCAAGCATCATTCTTTTTCTGTTTAACATCAAGTGAGAAACAAGGATAAAACGATCATTAAGTGAAACCTATCCTGAATCGACTCAAATCGACCGGACGACGTTTTCAACGTTAGTCTGACGATCCCGTCAGACTCGAGCTACAAGAAACAAAGCTGCATCAACGACAGTGTAAGCGTCGCGGGATCGTCCGAAGTGGAACAGATCTTGCGTCACGCGAGGATTTATAATTATCGAGTCGGGGCTTGACTATGATGTTACAGATTTATGTTCGCGATCCCGTGTCGCGCGATCTTCGCCGTGAAGTCGCTAATAAGTGACTTCGTCGCGACAATGCGTAATTGATCTGTCTTGGATAAGCTAGGATTACCGGGGTGCAACAGGAGCGACGTCGCGCGTCGTGTAGTGTCCCGTCGCGCGTCGCGTCGCAGTAAATTCTATCGGCGCATTATTCCTCGGCATTAATATCCTGTTTAGCAATATCACGGCGCACCGAGCAAGATTAATGCGGCAGCGCCTTACGTTACTTTAATTAACTCCCGTGTACGCGACTGCCCTTCATAATTGTCACGAACGTCGCCCACGAATTCGCCACGAACGTACTTCCTGGTAAGAAGCCGCGGCTTAAGGGAGAAATGGACGTTAATGCGTAACAGGTAGACAGCTGAATTCCACCCATCTCTCGATTAGCGGGCCTCCGCTTTCCCCACGCACGGCTCGCGTTCGGCTAATATTAATATCCGAGCTGTTGAACGTGGCTTTTACGTGTCATCAAGTTCGGACGGGATATCTCGTCCCTAAAGCTTCGGAGATTAGCCGCCTAATCCTTCGCCTGCTACTTTGGGGGTCGACTTTTCCATCACGACAACATTCCCCGACAATTACATGAATAATTGATCTAGTCGAGGAGTCGGTCGTCCGATAAACATCAAGTAACAATATTGTTATATTAATATTAATTATATTAATAATAATTAATATTAATATTAATATTTATTAATATATTAATAAATTTATATTAATATTAATTTTCTATCACAAAGGTTCTTTGATGTTCAGTCAGAAAGCAAATAACAATTAAATCCAATAGCTAGGTGGAGTTGTCTCTAAAAAAGGAGTTTTATTTCCACAAAAGAAAAATTTATTTCAACTTTTCATAATTCTTGTAAGTTTTATTAAAAGGTTTTATTTGAAGTGTAAAAGGTTTTATTAAGTAAATTTCTTTTTGTTAAAACAAATAAAGTTCTTTTGAAAACTCATAGACTCTACCTACTTGCTTTTTAATTTTGTAAATTTTCATTCAACAATGTAAGCATAATATATATGCTAATATATGCTTTAGCATACTGACACATGTCGTGTATAATAATTACATTGTTAAATTGAAAATTGTAACATTGATGTAACGTTACTGTTACTGAATGTTTATTGGGTTTTGATTAATGTGATAAAGGGAGTGAGCAAGTTCTCATAAGCTTTTAGTCCCATTTTGAAAACTTAAATTACTTTTTGATAAAATTGTGGCTATATCGATGAATAGATTAAAAATATATTAGTATCAAAATAATACTTTTTACTATTTGGGAGAAAATGGCCAAAAATAAATGGTATTGCGTTAGGATCCTTACAGGAATATAGAAAATATTGCAAGAAATAAGATAAAAGAATCTCTGTCAAAATAAAATATAATAGGGATTATAAATGCTAATAATATTTATTAATTTAGAGTGACTTTTACGAAGCTCCGATTGACTTAATCATCGATTAATATTTTTTGCAACCAGCAAATAGCTATTGACCAATTCTGCTAGTTATAACATAATTAATCGAAAATTACCTTAATTGGAGTTTGATAAAAATCATTCTAAATTAATAATTATTAAAATTTATAATCTGTGTTCTTTTATTGATAAAGGCTTTCATCTCTCATTTCTTGCAACGTTTCCTATACGTTTCCTGGAAGAATCCTTACGATATCATTTATTTTGATAGAATCTTTTTGAGTCATTTTCTTTCAAATGGTGAGGCGCATCACTTTAATATTTATATATCTATAATGTACTCATAAATAGCTACAATTTTTTTAAAAAATAATTTAAGATTTCAAATGCCGCAAAATGGGGCTAAACTTGACCCTTTGTAGTGTCAATGAAAAATTCTGTTTTGCTATGTGTTGGTACAGTTTATCTTGTGAGGTAGAGAAATTATCATGAGGATTAAATATTTCGAAGAAGATTTTAACTGATACCATAAAACTTTTCGTTCCCTTTTTGTCTCGTTTTTCTTTTTACTTACCTACGCGATCAATATTATACCTTGGACAAAGAACTGTGACGGAGACGTTCTTTTATCTCGTCGTCTCTTAATTGAATGTAACGGTTAACATTGTTACGAAAAGTTTCCCAACAAATGGGACCGCTTGGTGCGAGTGCAGGATTGATATTGCGTGCAAAAATATGAAGTAGGAAGAAGAACTACGATAAATCTCGCCGAAATTGTGAGCGGGAAACTGTGAGCGAAATAAAATCAACACCGGTCATTTATCCACACGAAAGGGAACATACGAGCTCACGTCTGCCTTCAACAGCGAGAGAAAAGTGAGCTCCCGACGGTTAGGGTTAAATGAAAACCCGATTTAACTGAAGCTATTGCAGGATATATATTCTAATATCGCGAGGGTAGAGCAACTCGTGCAAAGACGCGACAACGTATTACCGCGAAAACCAACGACAAACTCTTGCTAACACGGACAGCTACTACCCCTACGTAAAATTGTCCGTCCTCTCCCTTGTCCCCTAACATCGCGATCCTCAAAACCGCAGAAGTACTTTATTCCTCGGATCAACGCCGCGGATCGCGTTTGTCAAGTGTAAGATGAGGAAACACGTAAGCTATAAAACTTAAACGGTAAGCAAACTAACCAACTACATTCAATGATACCTCTTATAGTCCAAGAATAATTAATTGCGATTAATTTTCTTACTACCTACGTTTTTCTAGGTGCCATGACCTTCAAGTCGCGAATCACGCGGCTCTCAAGTTCATACAGTTCGATCTATATGAATCTATCGCAAGGACTCCTTCGTCTCCACTTTGATGGAGCCGATATCATCCGATAGTAAGAGTAAAAAATTCATGATCGCTTGATCCTCGACGATGTTCTGACCCGTATAAGGTAACGTTCATGTAGCTTTTCCCCAGAAGCGCAAACATGAAAAATAAAAAGTTTCCTATATCTATTGTCGAAGAATTGCTAAGATCGTCGAGTTCACGCGAAACTATCTATTTTTCATGTTTCTTGAAAATAAGTAAGATCGCTATCTAGGAAGTTAAAACATGAATCTTTTTCCCTGGTGTAAACTTGTGAAAAGTGAGAAATCTTACCTTGAAGATATATTGGAAATATTTACTTTTCACGAATCTACATCAGAGGAAAGGATTCATGATCGCTTCCAAGTGTCGCAAGATTACTCACTCCTCATACTAGCGAAAGTAATTACATGATCGACAAGCAAGATCGAGTTCACGTAAAAAAATTCATGACTGGCACCCAGGCCGAGATCGAGATGACCAATTCGATTCCGATTCATCGGCGGCGGCGCGTCGATAACGTGAAATCGCGGAGAATCCTCACTCACTCGCGATAACGATAACGAAGCACTCACCATGCTGCCGTAACCGTGGATGTCCGGCTCGTTGGCGCGCAGGTGATCGGTGCGGCGAACGGACGCGGATGTGAGCGCCGTAAAGAGGAGGGTACAGCACACGGTGGTGTAACGCGACGGTGTTCGGTGGCGTGGTGGTTGTTGGTGGTGGAATGGGTGTCCGGGGTTGGAGATGACACCCTTTATATAGGGGCTACTCTCTCTCCCTCACTCCGGGCGCGCATACCCCCGCGCCGCTTCTCCTTGCCGGCAGCGGAGGAGATGGTCTCACCTGAGTTATGATTGGCCACGGCGAACAACACGATACCTCTACATTATTTTGATTCAATTACACCTCTACCGGCGACTACTACCGACCTACGTAATCTCCTTTATTATTTATGACCCTCGGCAAATAATAATCATCGGGGCGAATGCGAGTCCTCCCCGTCGCGGGCGACATTGTCGACGACGCCGAACGTCGAGACTTTTTTTCCCCTCTCTCTCCCTGTCTCACTCCCATTTTCTTTCCCTCTTTCTCTCTTCCTCCCTTGTTCCCTACCTTTCTTCTCCTCTCTTTCCTCCTCGCCTATTCCTTCTCCCGTGGCTTCACGAAGGAAAACAACGATACCTCAACTTTTCCGCCTCGCACGAGCGCGCCACTTCGGCTTGTTCATGAATGCCGAATGAAATGCAACAGGTAGAACGTGTGCTTCTCCGTTTACTCATAACTCTATTTGGGTTTATGCGACTCCCCATTTTCTTATCGCGATGTGACATCTCGCTCTGAGGAAACAGCGAGGAAATATTTTTCCGTCTCGTCGCTCATGCGGTGAGATTGCTTCGCGATTGGTTACGGTGGTTGGGCGAGTCGCGAGAGAGATCAACTATTCTGACTTCCGTCGATTTTCTCGAATGATGACTTAGCATTTTGAAGACCTTAGAGCGCTTTTGGTAGCGCACGAAATGCATTACGCGAAAGCTCGTGGAGGTTACGTCTGAAGGTCTGAACTTTGTCTTACCTTGTACGTTACGCAAGGCGCCCATATCTCACGAGAAAACTTCGCGTTAATGAGAACTTACTTTCTTTTTAAACTTTTACGGATAAGAAATTTGATAAACAAAGACGAATGAAGAAGCGGAATGAAATTTTGCTTGTACATACACAGCGCCATGAATTCCCTACATTGAGAGTTCCACAATTTTCGGTCTTATGTGAATAAGATATATATTTAAATATATAGATATATAGAATATTGAAAGCATTATAATAACCAAGCATAATTAAAACCATTATATAACCCTACCATTAGAATTAGAGTTTCTTATACGATTTTCAGTCTCAAGCATGATGTGTAAAGTCGAAAATTGTGTACCAGTCGATCTAGGGAATTGTAAAATATCCAGGACGCTGTGTATAGTCGATCGATTTAGATACAATGAATTTAAGAGCTTACCAAACTGTTCAAATTGAGAGTCATTACCGATAGGCTTATGCAGTAATAATTAAGGTTGCGAATAATTAATTACTTTTTTAATTAATTATCGTGTTTAGTGAACAATTAATATAAGCCAATTCAATTAGAAGCCATTTAATTGATAACTGAACTTAGCAAATTTAATTAAAAGCTATTTTACTTACGATTGATACGAACAAATTCAATCGAAGACCATTCAGTGACGATTGATATGAGTAGTGAGCTTTCCTTGTTTTTTGGAGCTCTTTGAATTTCGGGCTCTTTCGTGTCTGATTCCTTCTTATGATTTATTATTTGTGATTGTGTACATCATTAAAGTCGATCTCTTTACTTAAATAATAAGAAGTTATAATAATAATAGTTAATAATATAATTACTGCGCAAGCACATCGGCTCTCAATTTTAACAGTTTAGTGAAATCCCAACTTTATCGTATCCAAACCATTTTGTGAAACTACCACATATTCATATACGTACTCTCTTAAAGTGAATCAGTGAAACGTCATTGAAAGCAATAAATATACACTGATTTACAGCTATAAGTACAGCACTGAAACTGCTCAGTGCTATACTTTTAACTGATATCAGTGACTATTCATTGATTCACTTTAACCCTTTATAGGGCAAGACTCCTTGGATATGACAAATGAGTTTTTTTCTTTTAAACTTTATTAAAATTGTCCTTAGAGACAATATTATTTTAATGTCATTTTTGAGACTGAAAAGAATTGTTGATAAGAGATATCAATCGGTATAACTGTTACATCGGTGACCATTCAGGGAAAACGTTTAGAACAACTCCCGATTCTCTCGACCAATTCTGTACTGCTGATACGACTTATGTACCAGTGCCCTATAAAGGGTTAAGAGAATATTCATATGTGTAACCCACGCACTTTGTTTGTCGGGTCAAGCTGTTACTTAGGTATTAATTATACCACATTTTAATTATTACTTATTGTTCTAATTATATAATGTTTGTATGCTACTATTTATTTTATATATTCTTACACTAATTACTAATAATTACAAATTTTATCATATTATTACTTAATGCATACGATATTAATTATACATGAAGTAAATTACACGATATCAATTATTACTTCTATTTATCTATTACATTATACCTATTATTACTTCTAACATATTATTACTTAATACGATATTAGTTATATATGAAATCAATTATACACGATATTAATTATTACTTCTATTTAATTATATGCAGAACGTTTCTGTCTTATTCATTTATTTTTAATAATAAAGGAATTGCGCTCTTCTCTTTCATTCTCATTTAAAATTAGATTTGCATTTAAAATTATTATGGAACTCAACTAATCTTTGACTATTTGCTGCAGTTTGATGCAGAAGCTATGAAAAGCAAGCTTCCTTTATTTCTTCCTTAGAATAATCAGTGTTTAACAGAAATATCAAAACACCGATAATCTTATAACCATGAATGAACCATTGAAAGAGAGGAGCTTCTTACAAGCGAAACCTGCGTCTCTCGTGCATGTTTGCAAGAGTGACGCGCGCGTACGACGAACAATGCGTATAATCGATATGTGCATATATATTTGTCGTGATGCTTGTCGGTCGAAGAAGTCCGTCGAGAATAAGATTGGGCCACGTAGCGCGTTGTTGCATAAGCTCGCATTCAACTTTAATATTGACGTAAAGATCACCATCTCCCTCTATTGCCGGCACCGAACTGACTGTTGCATAAACGCACGTAATTCATACTCGTTACTGCAGGATGTAACGGTAACGAGACGTATATACACTACATCGAGAGAAACGCGTTCTCACACTACGCGCCACACTGTTGCGCAGTGTCCGTTCTTATGGACAAAAATCGATATGTGAAACCTATCCAAGATATCAATTTAAAATTGATAAATATATAAATTATATATGGAAAACAGTGTTCACCTTATATAATCACTGGCTAAATTTAAAGCAATTGAGACAGTGAGACAAAAGGAGATAAATTGCGGAAAAAGCGATACACTATCGACTCTTATTATTAATATCAATAATATATAATATTATTATATGATTGATATTTTATATCAATTGAAATAAAAATTATACTAAAATATATTTATATTATATTAAAATGAAAAGTAAATAAGTGAAATAAGAAAATTATTAATAATAAACAAGTAGTATAACAGTTTTAATTAAATAATACAACGATCTTAATTACATTTATGTTTACAAAATGTGTTTTGTTTATCAATTTCTGTTGGATTCAACTGGAGTCGTGCTAACACCCGTGCCCGGCACTTGCATTCTAGTTGCAGCATTTCACTTCTAAATCGCTTAGGTGCACACTTGCGCAGAAAGTTTTTTTCTCATATAAATAATGCTTCGTACTTACAGTGTATATCAACATTAAAACAATGTAACTCAATGCATGTGACATGATAAACATTTCTCTCATTTTATGTAATTTATCAGGTGTTTGGATTATGAATTCAATTCTCTAGTACTAATTTATTATGAAAAATATGAGTTCTTAATAAGTTGTAAGAAGTTCCTCTCTTTCAATGGTTCATTCATGGTTATAAGATTATCGGTGTTTTGATATTTCTGCTAAACACTGATTATTCTAAGGAAGAAATAAAGGAAGCTTGCTTTGCATAGCTTCTGCATAAAATTGCAGCAAATAGTCAAAGATCAGTTAAGTTCTATAATAATTTTAAATGCAAATCTAATTTTAAATGAAAGATGAGAATGAAAAAGAAGAGAAAAATGAGAATGAAAGAGAAGAGCGCAATTTCTAGAGTTTATTATTAAAAAGAAATGAATGAGACAGAAACGTTCTGCATATAATTAAATAGAAGTAATAGGTACGATTTTACTAACAAGACAGTTCTTTTGATTCGCTCCAATTTCTGAAACTGTCAAGTCGATACAAAATTTGTATTATTTATGCGTTTTATTACATTTTAGACACTATGTTTTTAGTTTCAAAAAGAAAATCTTTCTATATCACGTTTCATAAAGAAGCTTTTTCCATGAAAACAGGCTCTTCGCAACACTGTGCGTCGCTCTGGCGAGAGCAGGGTCCCTATTTTTTAAATAGTTGCGTATATGTAAGTTTTATTGCGCAGGTTTAATCATACTATAAAATAGCTGCGCAATGAAAATTACGTATACGTAAAAATTTCAAAAATAGGGGCCCAGGACGGGTACCGACGGTCTCATCTCTGATCCTAACCAAGTTTCGACACGTAGTTGGTTGCGAGACATTTCCAAATTGAAAGTCGCGTAATTTTCACACAAGAGTGCGAGTTCCGCAATTGTCAATTTATCCTTCACATATTCTACACTTGAGAGAAAAGAATATCTTAAAATAAAAGATATTTATACAATAGGTACTAATAATAGATTTACTTACACTAATATATATATTTTTGGATTAAGAAAAGATTGTCAAATGAGAGTTTATATGTTTTTTTAAATCGTAGATTTTCATGAAAAGAAAAGCAATTGTTTATTTATTCAAATTAAAAAAATTTTAATTGAAGAAGATTCTGAGGCTTTATGTCGCATTTTCAATTGGCGCATCAATGGAATCATTCATAAGTTTACTATTTATTATAAACAGAATTATATATTTCTGTACATTTATTTAATTATCTAAGCAATTAATATTAATTTGAAGCAAAGTTGAGGTAGATATATATACAAGATTTCGAATAATTTACTACGAACAGGTAGATAAGGTCAAACTGAGCACGAAAGTATCATCTTGCAAACAATAACGTAAAATTTTGAGTCATTAATTAAAAAGTGATAGAGAAATTTTTTGTTTAGTTTAACCTAATCTATCTGTAACTCTGTAGTAAATTGTTACAAAAATTGTTACAAAAAATTGGAAATAGAGAAATTTTTTGTTTAATTTGATCTAATCTACATATGCAACTTTGTAGTGAACTGTTACAAAAGTTGTTACAAAAATTGTAACAAAAACTTTTACAATAAGTTAAAAGTAGACATTTAAAGTAACAACCTTGAGACACGTAAAATGTAACAACTTTTAGTTTCAAATATCTCAACTCTTGAATGGCCTTTTTATAATTACACAAGCAATTAAATAATTATTAATTATAAATTATTTCAATTGTTATATAGTGAAAGTTTCAATGCATTATTAACAAATTCATTTTTCCTTACAACTCGCGTGAGTGAACATATTATTAGTATTTCCTGAATAAATGCTTCTTATATTTTAGATATCTTTTCTCTCGATGTCAGAATGGGATTGTGGAGGATTTTTCTTTTCGAAAAATTTTCATACTTCCCGATGAATTCGTTTGAATTCACCCGTACGATTTCAGTACTTCTTGCAGCGTAAACGGTTGATTCATGCGGTACAATTAAAGCACGAGGCAAGGAGGAATTATCGCAGAGGGTATTTGTCGCGCCAAAGAATATGATAAAACGGCAGCTATTAAATCGTGTCGGTATACACGACACATTAGCGCTTTGAACGTCTTTAATTTCTCGACAAAGTTAAATTGGCTTTCCGTGAAACATTCTAATTAACAGTAGTGCCTTAATTGCCTCGATATCCGATAGCAAAGCAGAAACATTCTTCCACTATATCTGTTGCTCTCTCGTGAAATGATTCTTCGAGATAATTAACGAAGCGATAATTGAATCTTGTAACGACGCGTGACCGATAATAATTCGTTGATGTGTCGCTTTGTTTGTTTATGTCTTGCCGATATACTGTTGCAAATCATTGTACGCACCGATTTATTGACATGTGTGTCAACTGTGCACGGGAATATCGCGATATTAAAAATATGAGTCTGTTGACGACGAAAAAGAGAAGCTTTTTGGCAAGCTAAGCTTTGGAAAGGGAATTCGACGAAATCATATTTCCCGTGTAATTTCAAAACGACTTTGACCGTAATGTGATCTTAATTCGAAGCAGTTATAAAGATCCACAATATTAAAAGTTAGAAAAGTAAATTAAGAACAATATTCTCTTTGCAGAGGAAAACTGAAATGGCCAAAGAAACTGTGATTAACATTTTCATGGTTGCAGTCACGTACACGTGACTCTATTCTACCAGCAATTATCAACTAATAAAGAAATATTTCTTAATAATAACAAGTTACAGTGTAATTCTCTTATATCGGAAATACTTCTCGTAAATTAGAAAAGTATTTCCAGTGTAAATGAACTAGAGTATAGGAACGTAGAAGTGTAAAATAAATTTTATATTTTTTACTTCAACTCACACCAAGCTTATTCCGCGTAGACAAGCCTTAAATAATCAATAATGCGAATTATGTTAATTATTTTTACGTTTATCTTTTCCTTTATTTTATTTTATAATAAGTGAAAATAAAAAATATGAAAAATATAATAAATATTCTTTATTTTATTTTAAATATTCTTATCTTATTTTAACTATTTCCAGATTTTTCTTATTATTAACAATGTTTGTGAGTGTAACCTTTGAATAAAATTGTAAGCGATTCTAAAGAATATAAAACACTTTTTTCGTTTTTTCATTATAACGCATACTCTCTTAACACATTAATGAATCAAGTCTGACCTGAAATTTGGGTCTTTAAATACATTTAATTGAATGGTTTTTGGACTTTTTTCAATGATCAATTAGCAGTTGAAGACGCACAAAGACGTGGTCATAATAATAAATGAGAAAACGGACCGAATAACGGAAAAAAAAGAAGAAAACAAATAAACGATCCACGAGATTTTCAAGCGCCGAACCGCGCAAGCTGCAGCGATCGCTTACCGTAATCGCGTCTCGATACCATCGCGCTGTCATGCGCATGCAATTGAAAGAGTTCGGTCTAAATAATGTAGGAGTATCTCCGGTGGTGTAAAGAGGTCAAAGTCATTGCGTTTCATTGATCAGCGGTAGGCGACGAAATGTCTATTCAACAGGTTGTTAACTACTTAAATCTATGGCAGCCCCTTCTTGCCGCTCTTCTCTGCGGCCGATAGTTACCGGCTGCGCTTCTCACGTAGTCAGTGTCAACTCGACGACGGTTCGCACTTCAGCACCCGCGATGCGGCCACCTCGTGTCATCTGCACGGCGCTCGTTCTCCTCCTCGGCGCGGTGTTGCATGCGAGCGGCACGCCGGAAAGTAAGTGACCAAAAAAAGAAAAAAAAAATAAATAAATAAATAAAACGCGAAGAACGACCGAATGAGATCCCGCGAAAGCCCCGACAGCGCGACGGCAGTCGCGCGCTCAATTCGCGCCCATGTACGCGGACATACGCAGTCACGACGCCCAGAGCTGTCTCGCTCCTTCTCCTCGTTGCGGGTGCAGCGGAAAGGGCGAAAAAAGGCAAGAAGAAATCGTTTTTTACGGAGAAGAAGGGCGGCGCCCAGGGGATGAAACATCTTTGTAACCTTTGTAGACGGGGCAGAGGGGAGAGGGGCACAAAGTTCAAAAGGGGCGTAAACGTGTCCTTCAGGGCCGCGTCGTGGCATTATATCTCTGAAATAATTAACGCGCTGCAGCATTTTTACGGACGCACTGCGCGTACGAAATCTTCATTAAATTTCGCGGACGCCTCGGCATCCACTGCCCGAACGTAAAAACACGATCTCAAGCGCGAAGATGCCAAGAGTGAATGTAAATAGAGGGCACACCACCCCGGTACCCTCAGCACCCCCCCTCCCTCCGGGCTATTTCGGGACGATGACGGTGTTTATGTAGCCTGAGTAAATTTTCGCAACTTGCGCGCGAGACGTCGCGCAGTTTAGTGAATTTTTCATAAAGACACGGTCTTTGCCCCATGGTTATTTATCTGGATGTTTTGCTTTTCCCGTGTCGATCTGTTGTGCGTACGCGACTGAATATGGAATGAATGTCAGAATATGAATTTACTCGAATCGCGCGGAGAAGATACGCTCGCAGCAATCGACATATTCCCTGTCGACGGACGCTCACGCTTCCTTATTTACCAGCGACTGCAGATTGTCGTCATTTATCCACTTGTACTGTCATTCAAAGCAAATCAACTGAATGAATGAGTCCCAGTATTTCAGAATACACATGAACTATTCCCAATCAACAATGTTACGTATCTGCAAAATAACAATAGCTACGTTAGCTACGTTAGCTTCAGATCTGCTCATTTCAACTCTATTTTCTCGTGTTTCTTGCATTTGAAGTTAAATAGGTAACCTGATTACAGTAGTTTCCTACAATGCGCAAGCTAAATTGCAATGATGAATCGACTTTGAAGAATTGAGAATCCACTTTTCTTAGAGAAAACATCGAGTTATTAATACATAATTTCCGAATTTAAGCGAGCTACAAAAAAAAAACTCATCCACAATGGGCCTTCTATAATAAACCATTAGTCATAAGTCGTAAGCAAATTGATCAACCACAATCGATTATTTTCAAAAATAATGACTAATAGCTTATTGTAGAAGGTCTATAACTAAACTATAGGAGAATAAAAAGTAACAATATAATATCCAGTATCATAAAACTCTATAATACTGAAAATTAGACGAACCGCAAATAATCACTTTTCTCCGGCATTTTTATCAAAAACAAAAAATCAGTTCCAAACCATCATTAAAGTCATGAATTGTATACATAAAAAAATATTATCCTACTATCAAAAAAAGTGATTATACTTAGTTTATGTTTCTCCTTTAAAGGTTTAAAGATTTAAAGGCAATAATTATCTTCAAAAAAAATAATTTTTCGATAATATAGTCTTGAAATATACTTATTACAAGTATATTACATGATAATGTACTTTAGAAAAGTACATTATTATGTATTCAAAATAAGAATCTATTCACTTTACAAGAGTATTGTAAGATTTTATTTGAAGAGGAGCTAATTTGATCGTATGTAGTAAATAAACCGAATTTTTGCTTTAATTTGATATTCTTAATTGAAATGATAAACTTTCCAGAACTTTGAATAAATTTGATGCTTACAATGAATATACCCAGTAAGCAAGAAATCATTAATACAACAATACTACAATGATATTCAAGAACCTGTAATATTGTCAAATATGTAGAGTTTAATATTGTATCGAACATCATTATGAATATATTTTGACCGCGATTTGAAAGTTTCAATAATATTGAAATAGGATTGCCATAACGTTTTAATTGTCAGAAATATTTTTAAGATGCATTGATTTTAAACAAATGTTAAAGTAACATTTGAAAAATATATTTTTTGTAATGTTTTTAAAACGTTTAAACAATTCAGAAAAATCACATCACAAAATAACATGTGAAAAATATAAGTGCAATATTATTAAAAAATGTCCAAACAATGCACATGAAGTCAACATTTTTAAACGTTAATTTAATATTCCTTGCTTACTGAGTATGATAGATTTGCGGATATGTAAACTTATGAAATATTTGAAACGAATAACATATATTTAAACGCAGTATGTATTTTAGTGCAGGTAAAAGTGTAGCTTCTGCTTTATATTTCAGGCAAATAAGAGAGACATGGAGTAAAATGTATAATTAAGAACAACTGTGATACTTTTGAATGAAGTTATTATCGTGGTGATCTATCGTGTTACACCCGTGAGATCATTTCGCGCGCGATAAACGGCGGGCGAGGCGCGAGTCGTTGTACTTCACGCGTAGGTCGTTGTAATTAATAAGATTATAGCTTCCGACTTTGTCCCTCGGTGATTTACAGAGTCCCCTATGTGGAACGAAACCTGGACCGATCGGTTGAAGCAAGATCTGTTCGTAAAATACGACAAGTTTGCCCGACCGATGAAATACTACAACACCACAGTAGTCAGCTTCGACATTACGATTCTTCATGTCGATGTGGCAAGTATGCGATATATTAGAACGCGCTTGTGAGAAACCGTCGCGAAACTACAATCGGCCTCCTTTTCCCATTATTTTTCAGGATGAATTCAAGTCCTCCGTCACCATCAACGGATGGGCTTCTCATGTGAGTGTCCATATTTCATCATTTGGTCATGTTCTACATATAATTCCTTTTCTCTTAGAACGATTGCATTTCTACACATTGGCACAGAGTGATAAACTGTGCGTGAAATTGAAATGTTCGTAAAATTTACGCCGCGTTTACGATCAAATTGCCACGAAATATATAAAACATATTAATACTAGAACTACACGCGGAGAGAATTTTATCTCTATCTTCTATAGTAATTTTATAGTAAAAATTACTATAGAATTTTGTAGCCGATGAACAGATGAATAGATTGACATTTTGCAGTAATTGATTATCCTTTCATTATATATGCGCTACTTACATTTTAGGAATTTAAGTGTACTGTTAAAATTTTGCTATGTGTCTAACGAAATTTACTGTGTTCCTTAGCACGTTGTTGACAGTGTATTCCTATAATCCTATATAACATAATAACAAAACTTAAGATAATTCATATGAGAAAAAAGATGTATGTTTTTTCCACGTACCGACGATTAACAATTTCTATCGGAACAAAAATTCTATCGGAGTTAAAAAATGACTGAGTTTTTAAAAAAATGTAAAATTCAAAAGGAAAATGTTTATTTATCTTTTTAGTTTTGTCCAACGTCAATTAAAAAAAATATATAAAATGCATCGTTGCAACTTTGAGTGATTTTTATAAGAAATTACAAATCTGTCATTTTTACTGCTTCAATAGTTCTAATGTTAATAGAATATCAAATAGATTAATAAATTAACAAATATATTAATAGAATAAATCAAAATAATGATCTCTCTTTCCCTTCTATGCTTCTACTTTTTCTTTCTATGTCTTATACACTGAGGGAAAAATTACCTTAAAATCAACAAATATTTCTTTGATGGGTGCCATTAACATATTTATTTAAATCTAAATTCTCTTTATTTAAATCAAATATTGTTTACCTGATTTAAATAAACAATATTTGGTTTAAATAAAGAGAATTCAGATTTAAATAAATATGTTAATGGCATCTATCAAAGAAATATTTGTTGATTTTAAGATAATTTTTCCCTCAGTGTGATACAATTTATGCGAAATATGTAATATATATATATATATATAAACATATAATAACATCATTATCGGTCACCCCGCTAACTACACTCGACGATTGCGTCTCCACACGCAACGTAACTACGACATTTAATATTCATTCGTTATCGTCGTTACCGTTATCTTCTATTATAACATCCATAACAGACATGGATGGACGACAAGCTCAAATGGGATCCCTCCAAGTACGGCAACATTCAACACATTCACGTTGGCAATCATGAGGTGTGGCAACCGGACGTTATGCTGTACCACAGGTACGCCCGCTCTCTCTCTCTCTCTCTCTTAAATTTTTTCGCTGAGACGCGAGTTCCTCCGAAAGTCCGCAAGTAGTTCGCACACACTGATGCATTTCCTCTCTATTTCTCTCGCTCAGCGGCACAGCGAGCACCATTGAGCATTACGGCGACACGGCTTGCATCGTTTATCACGACGGCCGGGTGCTGTGGGTGCCGCCCGCGCAATTCGTCGGGCTCTGCGAGCTGGATCTTCACCTGTGGCCTTTCGACACGCAGATCTGCACTATGACGTTTGGCTCTTGGACGTATCATGGCGAGCAGATCGATATGCGTCTGAGCGAGTCCCAGATTACCGTATGAGAACAAATTACATTCGACCTAAAGTTTCTTTTTATATTCTTTGTATTCTTTTCTATGTTTACTTCTCTCCTTAGTGGAACGCGTAAAATCATCTCTATTGCTCGATTGTACATGGTATTGCGCGAATTAACCTATACAGGATCCTCCGAAAATCCGGGAACGGTCGAATACATCGCAAAACATCCACTTTCAGAAAGAATACTTCAGACAAAAGTCTAAAAAGCTATCTAATAGCAGTATCCTTTTAACTTTGGATGATGTGGTCAAGATCAGGTTAAGGTCACTGTTATTTTTAAATAAAATCTACTATTTTTTATCTCTATATTCTTGTAACTGACATTGAAATGTTTTTCTAAAATGATATAATAAAGCCATATTTTTGGTTAAATACTTCTTGAATTATTGGTTTATAAAGTTCAAGTACAGTAGTATTAGCGTTATGAAGGTTGTACAAGGTATAGAGGTTGCCCGGACTTTTGGAGGATCTTGTATGTGACGGATTGCCTATTCGATTAAATGCACGCACCTGGACACAGGCCCAGCACGAACTTGGTGTTATACTCGTTTGCAAAACGCTTTGCACTCATTTTTTTCCAACAAGAAATGTGCAAAAGCGTGTGCAAATAGTTTTACAGACGTGTGTATTGCCAAGTCCGTCCAATATCCGTGTCTAAGCGTGCGCGCATGCCAGCGAAGTAAATAGACTGCTTGCTGTATTGATCTGTATGTTGATGCAAATCTTGTAAAACAAACTCAATGTAAAAGCAAAGTTAGGTAAAATGGATTTAACCCTCCGTGTACAATCATATTTTTTGGAACATACAGTACAATTTGAGTTTGTTAGTCTCGAGTAATTTTGGGGTATCATACACAAAGAAAACTATTTTACATCACTACACACAGAAAAATATTCTTCTACTATTAAGAAGAACGATTATTCAGCTTATTTTTTCTCTTTTAGATAATAGTTATTTTTAATTAACTCTCTCCTTTACTCCAATTTAATTGTGCATTCATTTGATTCATTTTTAATATTACGAACGATACAACCAGGAGTTAAAACTGAATCTTTCCCCTTTCTATTTTTCGAGCGAGACCTCGTACCAATTCAGTGTAATAATAATCCAACATACATGACACTACTGTCAAGCATTATTACTCTCTTTTAAATTATTTTATACTCTTTATACTCTCTTTACTCTCTTTACTCTTTTATACTTTCTTTTAATCTATTTTAAATGATTCGCACTAACATCCATGATTCGTCTTTTATAGATCTTATCTTTTTCAGTATTTTTGAAAATATTATTTATCCAGAGATATAGAAAAGCCTCAGTTATGAGATGGTAGTGCAAAATAAAATTAAAATCTGAGAACGCAGATTTGCGCTATTTTGAAATTTCTCCGAATTGCTTATGAAAGTTGGTGGATGGAATGATCGGACATTCGTCCGTGTCTCTCATTGATCCAACGTTACACGTGGAGGGTTGATTCATCTGATTTGTCGTGCTATTCGATAAGGTCAAGACGATATTGAGACACAGATGGTTTTGACAACAGGAGGACTTGCACGTGAAGAATGCGGAGTGGAAGCTCATGGATTTGACGAAAACACGCCAGGTGGTCAATTACGCTTGCTGCCCGGATCCGTACATCAATCTAAATTTCAAGATGACCTTAAAGAGAAACTCCGCGCTCTATTGCAGTATACTGCTTATGCCCGCCGCTGGTGTGTAACTAGCGCAACTGTTCTTTATCTAGTATTAACTCACGACACCGGTGAGATTAGTCTCAAATCCGAAGTTACCGCGATCTCTGTGTGTGAATATAAGTGCACGCCCGCGTGTGTGTGTGTGTGTATTTGATGCGTGTCGTCTCTTAATTTGATTCAGTTCCGATTTATCGTCCGGATTTAACCACATTTAACCACATCCAACTACATTAACACGACGTAAACTTTCAGCCATAGTTTTCCTGGTTCTGGTCACGTTCTGGCTACCACCTCAAAGTGAAATGAAGATCAACATCGCGGCTTGTACTATATTAATCATCACAGTGTTTTTAGTCTACTTTGGCTTCAAAGTACCATTAACGGCGAATCCTCCGCTCATAGGTAATGTTAATCCCTAAAAGCTCGAATGAAATTTTCATGTCTGGCTCCCGCAAACATACGTTACTTTGCACTATCGCAATTTTGCAACACGATACTTTTATCTTATTTATTCTTTACTTACATGAACATCTGCTTGTTTTTGCAGTTTACTTTTATAGCGGCTGCCTCTGCTTAGAGACGATTTCGTTGATACTATCGATACTAGTTATTAACATTACGAAGAGGACTTTCTGCAAACCGCTCCCACGAAACATCAGATTGTGTCTGTTAAGTTGGCCCGGCAAACTGTTGGGTCTTTCCGATCTTATAAGCGTGGTAATTACATTTCTATCAATTAACGGATATATTTGTATGTATTCAAAGATGTCTAAATATGTTTTTCTATTTACTAAGAACTTATTTTAAACTATTTATTTTTTAATTGTTGACGTTTTAACTTCGTCTTTTTAAAAAATATTTTTGAGAGTGATTTCTTAAGGGGATGATAGATATCGAAATATTGCAGTTTTGTAGTTAATATTGTTTATCTATTTAATTGCATATAATTGCAAATGCTTTCACAGAATAAAAGTACAAATGTCGATATATAGAAGGGTATCTTATGATAAAACTTATCAAAAAACAAAAACAATTTGTTTTTATTTACTTAAATTTAAAAAAATTTTTTTAGTTTTTGATATATATAATATAGAGTATCTTTCAATGTATTGACACTTGTATTTTCATTTTGCACAAATATTTGCAATTCTATGCAACCAAATAAAAAAACAATACAAACTATGAAATTTGTCAGTATCCAGTGCCTTAACTTTAGAATGCCCAATAGAGTTATTTTGACTTGTTTAAGGTTTTCAATCTTTAATCAATTTTAAAGTAGAACATATTAGAAAAGTTACAGAAAAGATTAATAATAACGTTATAAATTATTTTATGATTACCTTGGATCTCTACGCGAGACTCTTTTGGATTTTTTTAATTGCCAGTTAAAAGGATAGTATAAAAATTATTATTTAAGACTTCAGCTTTTAATCCCGATTCAACTTATATTCTATTATGTGTGCATTCAATATAATGTTTTATACTAATTATAAAGGGCAAGTAAGTAATAATTATGATACATTTTATAATAGGAAATTCTAGAAGTTTGAAGAAATTATGAAGATAATAATTTAATTATAATTTGTTATAATTTGTTTACAATACATAAAATGTGTATATTTTGCAAATTATGTTTTTAGCATGTTTAGAAATTATGATTGACACGAGTAATGAGGAACAAAAAGAGTTTTAAAATCGCAAGGAGTTAAAATAATTTTTTCGGACATCCAACTAGTATTGTCCTTCTCGCATTCTAGTGTTAAGGATATATCTTGGAATATGCACTTTTATGTGATTTGCACCTCAGCAATATTATTCCTGCGATTTTATAATTCTTTTTTCACTCAACACATTTTGTTTTACTTTTATAATTTTGTCATTACGGAGTTAAGACGTTGCGCGTTTACAGAAACGAGACAATCGTTATAATTCGGTGGCGTTATTGATCATTTTTCAGATCGAGTCGCGGCGGCCTATACCAGGTCAGGAATTGCGGGGCAAACTCACGGAGGAATCCACGACCAACTCGACGTCCAACATCTCGGACGACGGTGATCGACAGAATATGATCTCGCCGACGAAGAACATCACGCAATTGGAATGGATTCTAGCAGGCACGGCCGTCGATCGCATCGCTTTCGTGCTGTTTTGCTTAATTCTAGCAACAATGGCAATAGTGTGCATAAGTTAGTTTGTTAGACGAATTTCTTTTTTCTTTCTCTCTCTCTCTCTTCCCCCACTCTTCTTTTTTTTTAATTGCTCCGGTACATCGACAATCTAATATATACTACATACATACGCAAATAAATCGCAACTTATTGTCCGATACCGTTTTATTCTCATATAAATAAATAACTCTCGTAGAATATACAAATGCAAAGTATACATATACAAACATGTTTTCGGTCGGGCGGTATTTAATTTCGGGCACGTTTGGTGTTATCTTAGTATCCTGGCAAAGGTGTTGCCAGGTCCTGTGTTATTAGAACGACTACGGAATTTCCAGTTGTATCGGTTCAAAGAAAACAGATATAGATCACGCACGATCGGTCGATATACAAGAAAGAGCAAGGATATATTTTCACGAATATACATCCAGATAGCCAACTGTCTGTGAGTTTGCTGTCGTGCTGTCGACAACAAACAGGAACTAATTTAAACAAATTAGGAACAAAATGACAGCATTGTGTGTGTCGCATTGAACTCATGTGAATTCTAATTCAAATAACGGCAAATTAATAGCAACATAGATTTGTAATCCGTTAAAAATTTTTTGTCATGACAACGTGCTGACAAAACGTTTCAGAGAGAGAAAAATATCGAAAGCGCAGTTTCGCTAGGCCGGGACTCGAGAACCCGAGTCTTTCGCTTGCCGGGCGACTGCTCTAAACTACTGAGCTATCTGACTCTCCACGCTCACGACACTCTCTTCTCCCGAAATAACGCTCAGAGATGCCGTTCGGAAAACGTTGTGTTAACAAATATACAGCAAACATTTAACAATACCTGCTGTGCATTAGTTTATTCAAAATGCTTAATCATCTTTGGCTATCTGGACATTGAAGTCTTGTTTTGTCGCACGAAATTTATTAGTCAGTACAACACTTATTTATCGTGAGGGTCCCGGAAATAATAAACACGGTCCTGATTACCGACGAAAGTATCTCTATGCAAGAACATCTCAGCATCGTATCGAGAATATATTGACTCGCGATCACTTCTTTGTTCGTATACATCTCATAAACAAACACGATTAAAGTACATTTATGATACACTACTATACAAAAGGTCGTATCAAAAGTGACTCTTTACATGCTCCTCAAAATTGGTTCCTAATATCTTGCAAAATCGCCCGCGCAATTTGCACACTTCGTTACTTTTCGCATTTCAGCCAAAAGCGATATGTCAAAACAACGTTGTTTCGATATCATTAATATCGAAGATAGTGAATTTGAAATTTGCGTCGAAATTTTGAAATTTTTGAACAACAAAAGATTACGTATATATGGAATCAATCATTTCAGACATTAACGACGTCGAAATGACATTTCGGCGGATTATTTCTGGCTGGAAGAGCCTTCATACGATTACACATATAATTGGTCTAACAGTCTTAGATAAATCGTTTGAATATAACAAGAGAAAAAAACAAATACGCATAGAAAAATTTACCACTACTGGTCGTATAACAATTCACGCTGGCGTTTAAAGCAAGAAAAACACGAGGTTGATATGATCTTTCTATTATGCCGAAAGGACAATCCTCCTCCTCCTCCGTCTCCTCCTCTCTTAGGGCCGATTGTTCCAACTTTTTGGTAAGCTCTACCTGACAGTTAAATCATATGTCTGTCTTCGTTTCTTCTTCAAACTGGACAGAGACGGATACATGATTTAATTATTAGGTAGCTTATTAAGAAGTTGGAACAATCGGCCCTTATGCTTGTGATTTGTGTGGGCCCATCGTCATAAAAGCTGCACAATTATAGAAGCGGAGATAGAGCAAGGAAATGACAAGCGATTTTCTCTATTTATTGTCGGAATTATGCATAATTACTGATAGAAGCGTCTGTGCATCCTCCGGATCACCATTATTGTGACTGTGGCAGCTTTAGAAAGTTTCCATCTGTTGGAAATGTTGAAGAACCGTATTCCCTTGTATTTGTAAGCACAATTCTATCGCGAGGTCGACGTCTGTACGATTATCGATAGACGATCTCCCATCCGCAATTATATTGTCATATTTGATTGCTGTGTTATGCGTGCTGTTTGATCGACTCCCATCAAGCGTAGCTCATGCTGAGTTGGTACAATACGATGTCGCCAGAAATTCGCAGAGTGTCCGTGATTGACGATTGCAGTCTATGCTTAAACTCGCCGATCATCTTGTTGCCCAGCCATATCGTGTATCCTTCGTACTCACAGCGAATGCTGTTGAGAAAAGAATTTAAAAGAATTCATTTTATTTCTCGTTGGTAAGTAGAAATGAAAGTTTATCTGTTGTTAAATTAAGGTTTAATTAACATTGATGAAAGAAACTGACGTATGGAGAGTATTTTATAGATGTCTTGTAGACATTAGCAGAAAAACATTGGTAAACGGGCATAAATAGCAAGTTTTTGCCCGTCATGAAATATTATTGAAAATAATTCTTCACAAATAATTATGGAAATATTAAGAATAAAACTTAATTAAGAAAAAATTTTGGTTTAAATAATCAAAAAATAGGAGATATTTACGAATTTTTTTCAAAGATTTTTTGGAGAAAAATATCAATATAGAGTTTTTTATTATTATATATTATTCATCATGATTTTAAGGATAAAAAATTATTTTTAAGTAATTCAATTCTGTTTAGATCTTTTATACTGAGTGCGTTGTCGCCAGACATCTCTCACTGGTAAATAACATTACAACTCGTATAATAATTTGTAAGAAATGGAAAGTTAAAAATTATACTAAAGAGTGCGGCCAAACCATCATAGGCATTTTTGCTCCATTTTTTGTAAGTTTGAAAATGGTCACAAATTTGATATTTTCTGAAAGCTTATTGCGAGTAGATTCGAAATATTTAAGTATCAAGGTAGCGCTCTATACCATCATTTGGTATCTTAGCTATGTCACAATCATGGTTTTGTAATTCCGAACGAAAACGTCTGCGATATTACTATAAGAATTAACAATGATCAATAAAATATCTTATTTTTCTCATTTTTTTGTCCATTTTTATATGCATTGACTTATGGCGCCATCTTTAAGAAGTGAAACTTTTTTGGACCATTTTTCTCTGAAATGGTGTGGAGCGCCATCTTGATACTTATATATTTGGAATCTACTTGCAATAAGCTTTCAAAAAAAAAAAAAAAACCAAAATTATGACCATTTTCAAACTTATAAAAAATAGGGCTAAACTTGGCGGCACTCTTTGCTGGAGGACGAACGTTTATTATATGCAGAATGTCGAAATTTAACAAAATAGCAGCATTACCAAGTCATAAGTCGTTTGTCTCTTTCATCGTTTCTCATTTAGTATCCCGTGGAAAATACTAATTTTGGAAATTTTCTAAAGGATTTAGATTAATCTTCTAACAAATTTAAATTAACAGTTTTTAAATTTTTTATCCCATTTGTCTCAGAAATATTACAAAAGTTGTAATATTTACCACCAGTTGGAGGAGACAACACATTTAGCACAAAAGACTTGCATGGAATAACAATTAAAAATTTTTTTCTATTTAAAATAATGATAAAATCCTATACTGATATATTTATTCTTTTTCTGAAAAAAAAATCGTTAATACCTTCTACTTTTCAGTTATTTAAAAATCAAACTTCTCACTGTTAAATAATTATATAAAGCTTACTAATTAAAATTAAAATTACATAAAAAATAAATATAAAGCTTACTAATTAAAATTAAAATTACATAAAAATAGATAATGAAAGCCAAATAACAGGTTTTTTTGTATAAATATGTGCGTAATATGTAACTAAACCTGCGATTTGATTCTTGTCCGTTTTCCTTTTATAATTTTAAAGAATTAAGCCATCCTTTTGTAAAATAATTTGTCATAAACAATAGTTATCATTCTATTCGGATCGCTCATTTCTAAATAAAAATAATAGCCTTACGTAAGCAGGAAGTCTCGACCAGGCATCCAAGATAAGTGTCCTGGATGTCGCTCTTCGTGTTCCCACGCACCATTGGTCCAGCAATTCATGACAACGTACGGCGCGCTATTCCCGTAAAGAAAGCGCGGGTTTAAATGCAGCGGTATTACAGGATGAGGATAAATGGTTTTGCCCTTCTGCAAATTCACGTAGAACCTGCAAACAACGCATAGATATATCCCATTGCCACACGGATGCGGAAACATACGTAAATGCTAAATTACAATCTCAAACGCTCACGAGTGTGGAAGTAGCTTCAATCTTCCGGTGATAAATAAACGAGAACCGACACGAAACTCGCTGCCGATGTCCACAGTAATGGGGACGTCCTGTAAAGACAAAATAATGTGTTATTACATAACGATATATAAATGTTCGATTAATTTGCAAATAAAATCTTTGTCTGAAATATTTTTCATATACAAATCTCATTATTTTGATTATATTCATTCAGGATCAAAATTGCCAAAAAAATATCGCTAGAGAACCTTGCACTATACACATAAAAAATTCTCCGGACTATTTCAACAAAAAAAATGGCGGCTTACTAGAAAATCCACGAGTGGTTCCTCGACTGTCAGGACCAATGTTCGGCAAGGTCTGCATATGGAAGGATCAGGATACACAAATATATTCAGCTGACGGGTCCTGACATCCTCGATAGTCCCAGTAACTTCGAGGGCCATTATCTCTTCGAGAGATATCCTATATGAGAAAGCGCAGAAATGCTCTCCATTCACCGCGATCTGCAAACGCACGAACAGTAATTACACGCAAAAAAAGAACTAGCTTCCAGAGCTAAAAAATAGCTGTGGCAGATATGATGTGTCACTGAAATAGGGATAGCTAATGTCGATACTACCGAAGCTAAATTTATTCGCTGTTTAAATTTAGACGCGAGAAATATTAGCTGCTAAAAACAAATGACTGTAGCAAAGCTACAGATTGTAGCTGTGCGGCAAACTTCTTTAATATATGCATACCTGAAACGCATTGTTCGTGCAGAAGATTGTGATATGCACGTAGGTGTTCCGGCGGAATATGCATCCGCTCGGACTGGCGGGCGAGCAGGTCTCTTCCTCGTCCCAGGAACCACGTACTTTCGTGTTCCTGACGATATATCCCCTGTCGAGTCGCGGGTTGAAATGCAGGGCGATGTTCCCGGACGTTTTGCATGTTAAATTCACCGCAAACCTAAATACGATTCGATCAGGATCAACTCTTCGATGTACATTGTTCTTAGGAGAATGTTCCATGGAAAAAAAAGATCTGCTACATATGGACAACTAAATATAATTTGCTGTATTAGCCACTTTTTCTTTGCTGCAGGAGCCAATTTTCTTACTATGATAACAAGAAAATAGCTAAAGCAGTAAATTATGTTTAGTTGTCCATCTGTAGCAAATTTGCCACTTTTCTTGCTGTAGGAGCAGACTTTCTTGTTATCATAGCAAGAAAATAGGTTCCTGCGGCAAAGAAAAACATAGCGAATAATATTTAACTGTCCATATGTAGCAAATTAGTTTGCTGTTATAGCAAATTATTTTTTTCATATCCTTTTCCCATTTTATTTCTTAGAAAAAATACAAACTTAGAAATAGAGATAAGAAATAAATATTTTCTCCTAAGGAATGAAAAGAAAAAATATTGCTTCTTATTACCATTTCTAAATTTTTATTTCTCAGAAAGAATGAAAAGAGAAAAGGGCGCCTCGGCACGCGCGTTGTTCTTAGGAAAACGTTCTTTTTTCCTTTTTATTTCTTAGGAGAAACAGAAACTCTTAGAAATAGCAGTATCTCCTAAGAAAAATTTAATTTTTTTCTTAGAAAAAATATAAACTTAGAAATATAAATAGGAAATTCTGAAAAAGTTCTTGTTTCTTAAAGGATATAAAAGCTTAGACATGGAAATAAGAAATGAAATTTTCTTTCTAAGAAATAGAAAAAAAAATTTATGTTTCACTTATATTTTTAAATTTTAATTTTTTTTTTTGGGGGAAATAAAATGAAAGAAGGGAAAGTAGATTGTAAAATGCATACCTCGATGCGTTTTCAGGAATGTATCCGGTGATAATAATGGCGGAGGTCGGTTTCAGCGGTTGTAGCGGGATCGGCTTGCTGGTATTCTGAAAAAAAATAACACAGCGTACCGTCAACAAAATTTGCACTCCACTTTCCTTTGTTTGAGAACGATCCGTACGTAGATACTCGTCAACGTTTGTACGTGAATCATCATCATCAATTCGCCATATATTATCCGGTGTTATCGTCACGATATCAGGAACGCGCCACGTCAACTAGCGATATTTAATCCACGGCGCTCTTTGCGCCTTCGTCTCTATTTTATTATACCTACGACGGCGCGAGATTCGTTCGACGTAATAGTGCTAATTGCTACGATCAAATTATCCATCGCAGAGGCGCGAATTAAATTCCCGAGCTCGGAGAACCGCCCTAAGAGAGTCATTATAGATTGCCATTGATGATCGAGAACTTCAGGAAGCACGGTGTCGAGTTTATTCGACGCGGCAGAGCAAAAATATATTCTATTATTTTTTTTAATGTAAATGTGTTCCGTATTTTCTATTTTTCTAACTCCTTCTAATAGATGGATTGTTCTCCTTTATCATAATTAGTGCAATAGTATGATTCTCTCTGTTGGGAAGCGTTTCCGCTTGTCGGTCGTATTGTGTCATATTTCTGTGAATCCAAGTAATTTTATTGTTATCGTTATACGACTTGCTATCACAAGAGAGTTATTACACAGCAAGATTTCACCATCACATTTAATGAAATGTGCCGTTTGTGTCATTTTACGCGACTATTCTGTTTCCGGAAAAATAATGTATTATCCTTGAAATTTTCTTACGAGGTTTGGCCCGATTTTGGTCTTCTTCGATAGTAAACCGATCGCCGCGTTTGCGGTGAAAATACACGAACGCTAACTGAACATCGGCAAAGAATTATAAGTAACGACTACAGTTATTTAGTCGATGAATCATCTGTTTTCATTGAGTGCAATAAAGTTAATTTTAGTTCAAATAGTCGAGCCGATTTTTTTAACTGATCCGCTATTTTTGCGCGGAGACGCTTAGAAAAACGTTGTACACTAGATTTTAAGAAAGTTTGAGCATTCCTTTTTCGATACAATTTGGAACGCAGCCATAAGGAGAGAAAAGAAACATTGGCTACATTCAGCTGAGAGAGCAGCTCAGAGAACGCTTAATGATTATTGCTTCTTATTAGTAAATATTCTTGGGTCTATGAAGAATCTAAAAGAATGCCCCAATCACAGACAAGAATCACTAAGCGCTCACTGAGCTGCTTTTTCCGCTGAATGCAGCCATTGTTAGAAGCGTCTATGGAAACGATGCTTTTGCGATATTTAATGCTTTTGCGTAAATTAATAAGTAATTAATCAACACAATTCATTAATATATTCGTTATCAAAGGTTCATTTGGGGAATCCTCCCTACAGATGATTGTATTTTTTATGTAATTATGTGAAACAGACTTAGGGCAGTATTTTTCATAGTTAGATCTTATATTTATGATCATCTTAATTTCATCTTCAGACGCTCTTTAATCTATAAAATGATCCATATAGCATCTGAAGATAAATTTAACACTAGAACTATTTAGAACTACTTCTAAGTAGCATAGATCGGTAATCATCTGTAATTCTAACGTAAGAAAAAGTTCATCTAGAAATATAGATTTAATACTTCTATCAAAATTGTCAAAATGACATTTTGAGAAAGCATTTAATGTAAGGAAAACAAATGTTTATACTTATCTTTTTAGTTTTATTCAATGTCAATTAATAATATAAAATATGCTATTAGAAATTTCAGTAATTTCTAGAAAACATTATAAATCCGTTATTTTAATTGTTTTTATAGTTAACATGATTTTAAATAAAAGGTCCTACTATGAATAACGCTCTTAGTTTATTTATGTATTGCGATGTATTGTTTATCTGAGCGATAGACACATGAGATGAATCCTCTCTAAAAAAAGGCATGTAAGAGATTTAATTGTTACTGCTTTTCCGCGATAATGATTGATTTTCTCGCTTAGTTTATTTCATGTGGGCTGCGGCTTACTTTGTGTCGTTTGCGCCTGTCAAATTACCAGGCAAATGATCGCGTTATGTCAAATTACCAGCTGTCATCGCGTTGGTTAAGTCACGAAAAAAAATATAGAAGAGATATATCTCTCCCTGTCTCTCCCTACCTCTCCTGTCTCTCCTTGTCTCTTCCCGTCTCTCCCCGTCTCTCCCCGTCTCTCCCCGTCTCTCCCTGTCTCTCTCTGTCTCTCCCTGTCTCTCCCTGTCGCTCCCTGTCTCTTCTTGTCTCTCCTGTCTCTCCCTGTCTCTCCCCGTCTCTCTTCGTCTCTTCCCGTCTCTCCCTGTCTCTCCCTGTCTCTCCCTATCTCTCCCTGTCTTTCCCTGTCTTTCCCTGTCTCTCCCTGTCTCTCCCTGTCTCTCCCCGTCTCTCCCCGTCTCTCCCCTGTCTCTCCCTGTCTCTCCCTATAATTATTAATTAATTAAAGTATATTTTAATTTAATTAATTTTTATTTTACATTTTTTATTGTTTTTTATTAGCTATTTGGCGCGCGCATATATTGTTCTAGTATAACAAAAAAAGAAAGAGTTGGATGACGCATGAAAATTAATTAATGCACCATTGTGTCATCGATAATGACTGGAAACCGCGACCGTGTATGAAAATGATAGAGGAAGAATGACAGAAGATGTCATCACTGAATCCCGTGACATAAATACGTCGGTGCTGCGAATTAGACACCGCGAACATTTGTTTTAATAAAGATAAACACATGCTTATTTCCGTTCTGACCTCAATGATAAAAAGCCGTGTCTCTTAAATTAGCAATATGTGTCATGTTTTGTCTCACATCGTCAAGTTCTGCATGTTTAAGCGACTAAAAGAAATAGCATAATTTTACTCGGAATACATGTTTATATGTACAATATTTACTTGTTTGAATCGTTTATTTGATATGCGCACCGGAAATGTAATGTTAAGAATCTTTGTAATATTAAGGTAATATTAAGGAAACTTATCCTGGGTGAATTTTTTGTAACTATCCAGCAAACAAAATGACGTCAAATAACGTCTTAATAACGTCTCTAACATCAATAATACGTCATTAAGACGTCATTTGATTTCATCTCATGCTGGGTATTAAGGAATCCCAAAGATGGAGAGAGAGGAAGTAATTGAAGAAAAATAACATTATCGACCATTTTTAACTCCGAGTGACAACGTATTTTCGCTACCTTCGGAGTAATAACCAGGTTTATTAGTGTCTTTCTTGATTTTCTCCTCTTGGGACGTTCGAAAAAATTCCCAAAAATAATGGATACTGCGAGCGAAGGAATGGATGTATGTGAGATAAATGTGTGAGGTAAGGCAGGAATTGTAAACCAAGTTCCTAATTTATGCTGAAGGAAAAATAAATTGATTGATTGATATTAGCAATCATTAATTCATTGAAAACCTCACATTAAATTCTAACTTCAAATCCGAGTGTCTCGTTTGAGATAAGTTTCAAGTATTACTATCCGCGACACGGTCACGCGTGTACTTCTGTGCATATTTCTATGCATATATTGCTATGTGTATTTCTATGCACATTCCTTCCACAAACTGTCCGGGAACGATGTTAAAGCGACCACTACTATTATTAACGCGTAATAGAAGCTTTAGTAAGGCAAGACGATATTGCGACGTCGATGGCTGGTGACTCTCATGTTGAAGACATATTAAGAGCATTTAGCCAATGATAAGAACTGCTTAAGGTATTTAGTGCGTGAAGTGTCGGATTTTAAGTGGCGACATCAAAAAGGACCCTTATAAATTTATTATACTGAACTAAATTACTTCCTTATAAATTTATTTTATTATAATCCTATTATTGTTAAATATACTCGGGAAAAAAACGATTATATATAATTATATATAAATATATATGATTATATATAATTATATATGAATTTTGTCCATATATGTGACCTTATATATGATCATATCTAATTATATATAAATATATATGATTATATATAATTATATATGAATTTTGTCCATATATGTGACCTTATATGATCATATCTAATTATATATATATATATATATATATATATATATATATATATATAAGATATGTATATCATATATAATATATATATATACATATATAAGACAAAAATTGTCAAATGAAAAAAGGAAAACATAATTTAATTCGGTTAAACGTCGATATCCTGGGCTACCATAAACATAAGCATTTACTTCAATTGTATTTTCACAATAGTATTCTTTTCAATGTCGACATATATAATTATATATGATCATACATAACCATATATGGACAAAATTCATATATAAACTTTTTTTTCTCGGGTAATCCTACTACTGTTTAGATCCTTATTTTTATAATTTATTCTAATATTATTGTTTATCTTGATATTGTTTAGAAGAAATTAGAGACGGAAAATAAAAATAGAAGAAGGAACACATTTAAAAAGTGCCAACTTCAGTTGCAAATATCCCAGCTCCTAAGCGATCAATCTTTTTCTAACTTCACGATGTGCAGGTAGTACTTCTATTAATATGCAGGTAAAATTTAACGGGCTAAGAAAATAGTTTCACGGGCCAACGGGTCCGGTAGTTACCTTGAGCACTCGTCTGTCCGCGATCGTTTGTCGTACAAATGAATCGAATCTTGTATTCGCTTCGCGTATTTATATCCGTACGTCGTGTGTTTACACGGCGCGCGCTCATTCAGCACTACCGCGTACGCGCGATTTACGAATAGAGGACTCTCCGACCGTAGTTCACGCGTGCCTTTAAGGCATTAGATCTGCGCGTTTAAAAAGAAATATCACAAATACTTTCAGATATTTTCAGCTGCTCACTGTTGTCTCCAGCCGCGCGAATTTCTGAGTATCTCACATGCTTTGCATTTTTAATGACATCAGGGATTGCCAATCAGCGCATTCCTTAGGAGAAATTATTTATCGCGAATGACACACATCAGACACAAACACACATAACACATCAGACACAGACACGTATACATGACAAATCATGACGGGACGGCGCGGAGGAAGCCGCGATTGCAAATCGGCAACAAAATGACAAGCATCGCGCAGGTGAACAACGTCCGTTTGATTCACAATCATTCCGTGCGACGCGCGGAAGAGAACACGCGACCTTGACGAAGGCGGGATGACAGAGGGAGGGGAGACAGGTGAGGTCGTGTCGCTAATACTTACCACGGGCACAGTCTCCTCGTCGAAATAGGAGAAATCCTTGAATGCCTCCTCTCTGGCCAAGGCGAGGATGTCACTGGACGAAGATGGCATGCTGGCCCGCGGCACGAGAGTTCAGTCGGCAAGGGCGAGGGTGACCAGGTGACAACGACACTTCCTGGTGCACGACGTACGCGTACACAGCATCGCAGTACGTCCGTACGTGAGCGAGCGCGACGGCGCTCTTAGGCTACCTTCACACTCGCCGTCTGTCTGTCTCGCGTGTCTGTTCCTTTCGTCTATTCTCGTCCGCTTCCACCACCTACTACTCCTACGAGCGAGGGGACCAGAACCGTACAGATTGCGACTGCGTGCATCGCAGGCGGGGGCAGAACTGCAACCAACACTGCCTGCAGCCGACGGCGGGCGGTCGATTCCTCATCGATTTCCTCGCGCCATTCCGCGTCTTCTACACACTATCGCGCTGAACTGTCTCTGACGTAGTAGATAAGGTAGATAAAGGCGTTGTGCCATCACGGATTGTCACGGATTAATCGACAGCGGTTTGATTTAGCGCCAGCTATCTATTGCGTTTATTTACGTTATATTCGCGAAATGAAATATGAACATTTTGCGAATAGATTTCTTGCGCGATTTTAAACGGGAACAAGGCCGCATGGAGTTTCCTAAACAGGCATGCGCGCTCAAATTTCGCTTCAAGGTTGCGTTTCAAAACATCCTTTTTGAGGAAATTTTACTCGAGACTCTATAGTTTATGTAACGTAAACTGTAAGTATTGAGTAAAATTTTCCTCAAAAAGAACGTTCTGGAATGCAAGAATGTAATTTAACATTCAGAGGAAGTAAGGCTTTCCATCTCTCTAATCGATAATGAAGCGCGACATTTAAATTGAATTAACATTACATCTGGAAGCAGGTAAAAATCCAGTTTATATTCTTTTCTGATATTCAGCATTGCCTTCGTTCAAAAAAATCGAATAAAGTTGTTTCTTTCGTCGCAGAATACGATCGTGGAAGTTCTGAAGGATAACATAAAATGCGTATGTAATAAAATATAGTGAATTTTTAAGCATTAACTGCAAACGAAAAATGCGGAAAGGTTCGATTGACGATTGATGTGAGCAAAAGATATTAAAGATCGTTTAATTAACAACTGAACTTAGCAAATCTAATTAAAGGCTGCTTAATCAATTATTAATATGAACAAATTCAATCGATTCAATCGAAGAGCGTTTGATTACTTGAGAGTACAATTTGTTTTGCGGATAATATTCACATCCAGAACATCATGGCAAGATGTCGAACATTGAGAAGTGCTAAATGAGACTTGTGTTGAGGGAGACACACTGATCACACACATATAAATCATCACCAAACGGTCTTCGATGCAGTCGATTGAATTTGTTTATATTAACACTAGATTTACCAGACAATTTGACGGTCAATTTGACGGATATCCGGCGAAATAGGTATACAACATAGAGAATTTCAAAATTAGAAGTTTGAGGAGTAAATGAATAATTTGGATATATATATTTATATCACTCCATTAATAAAAATCAACAAAAATTGCTAGAAAATAATAATAATAGTTTTTGTATTAATAATGAGTAATAATTTTACTCGTGAAATCCGAAACCCGTCAAATTGACGGGTCCCGTAAATCTAGTGTTAATCGTGAATTAAATGGATTTTAATTAAATTCATTAAGTTTAATTTTTCATTGAACGATCTTTGATTCTCTTTGCTCGTCGTCAATTGAACAGTCTTTAATTAAATTCGTGAAAATCAACCATCAGCCAAACGGTCTTCGATTGAATTTGTTTAAATCAATCGGTCATAAATATACATATACATTCTATAGTAATGTATTGTGCCTTCGATTTAAATTTGAACGTAGATAACTACAAATAATGAAAATATCAACACTGATGTTAACTTTCATCGACCAAATTAAGTATTTAATAAGGTCGCAAGAGTTGCTAATATATTAGAAAGGAATAGCAACTTATACTTAGCGAAAGCTCGTTAGATAAAGGTACGTGCACAGATTTTTCATCACATCTCGTGAAAAGTTTACCGATTGCATATTGATACATTTAAGATAGAAATATTAGTAAATGTTTAATAAACGTATACATAATAAAATCGCTATATAACGTAATAATACGAATATGAATTCGTGAAAATAATATAAGCAATACGAATAATAATAGAAATAATGATAATATTATACTTTAAATCGCTTTTAAGTAATCAGTTAGCACAAATATAACGTAACAAATACAAAAATTATTTTCGTATTATACGAAAAATAAAAGCCATACAAGTAATTTTTGCAATAGAGAGTTCAGCAAGAATATAAATATTTTACTTTATAGGTACCTACTAGCGAAAACAATTGACATTCCAATGAATATGTGTACCAAACAGACTTGGCAGTTAATAATAATTTTGATGTTAGCTGATTTATTAATCTATCTTATAATTGTTCACGTATTTAAAGTATTTGAATTAAATAATAATGAACTTACTTTTATGATGAAAATGTTACAACTAAAACTACTCTTTATTTTATTTTATATTATATATCGCGTGGTTGATTGGTGGTAAGTATATTATTTTTAATATTTTATATGTGTATGCAAAAAATACATAAGTAATATCAAAATTTCTATAATCTTGTATGTGTTCCGTAATTTGATTAGTTTACATATACACAGAATGTTTGGATTTAAATGGCTTAGCAATCATACACAGGTTAAATTAAATAGAAAAATTCTCTGCCATTCTCTATAAATTATCGCAATAATTATTGAGATAGTAATAAAAGAAAATTGGCGGAGCAATGAGTGATGAAACGAGCTGTCTTTAGAAACATGATTAAATACGTTTATAAATATGCGTCCATTTAAAAGGTACACTAATAAAAAAAAGCGGTTGAATTGAAAAAATCGGCGTTCACCGGTCAACAAAGAAATATTGGATCTACTCAACAAAATACATGTTAATGCAATAAATTGATATAGTAGATTTCAAAGCAATTTATTGTTGCATTAACATATATTTTGTTGAGTAGATCCAATATTTCTTTGGTGGCCGGTGATCGCCGTTTTTGTCAATCCAACTGCTTTTCTTTCTCAGTGTAGAATTAATTGGTTAGAGTTTACTCAATAATTGCTATTTTATTAAATATTGTGGAACAAATAACACTTAGGACTTTGTTCAACTCAAAATTTCATGAGGAATAGCAATATATAAATAGCAAGCACGAGATTTACCAGACATCCTGCATATATGTAAATTGCTAATAATATACATATGTGTAACTCACTAATAATTATAAATTACTATTGAAATATGCAGCCTATATTTCAGTATGTACGGTATTAGAGATGAAATTGAGGAGATATAAATACATATTTTATACATAGGAGATTTTTAAATAAGGTAAGGATAAAAACGTTACGTAAATTATCAAAAAGATTGTGAAGATGTCATGTGTAGAAAATTTATTCATTTAAAATATATATTTAGATATTATATTACATATGTTTTAGTAAATTCTTTCTGCCTGCTAATATTATTTACTGATAATAATTGGTGCAAATTATTGACTCTGAAATTAATTAACTTATGAATTATTATTAAATATTAAAATGTTTTCTGCAGATGTACATAGTAGGAAGGTGTGATATTTACACAATTAAGTGACGGCACCATTATATTATTACGAAGTGACATAAAATCTTCTAAATGTATTACAAGTATATTAAGAAAGCATTAAGCTAGATGTTCAATTTCAAGTCCGATATATGCCGGAAAATATTGAGAAAATACTATAAATATTCGATAGACTATATTTAAAAACCTTAATAGAACTTTTTTATCAAAATTACACTTTTATGCGATTTTGTTATATTTTTATGATAACTACGATGATGTAAAAAGTGATGCGTTAACTACAGTATTTATTAATTATATATTAGCCTTGTAGACTGCCTATTGATGAATTTAACAGTCAGAATTGTCATCAGAATTATAATTTTAAAGGATTAACTTAGATAGCACATATATTTATATAATTATATAATTATATTAAAATAGTTACGACGAATTATAGTTATATAATTATATTAAAATAGTAACGACTGTACCCTACTGAAAAATTTCTATTGAGATCACAATTGAATTCCCAATTGAATTCTCAATTAAATTCTCAATTGAATTCTCAGTTGAGGTTTCCGCAAAATTTCGCATGTAAGATCTCAATTGAGATATTTGTATCTGATGGAAATAATTCATTGAAAATATAATGAACTTTTGCTGAAATATGTTTGAAAAGCATTCACAATTTTGACCCAATTTCATTAAAATTTCATTATAATTTCATTAATATTTCGATAATATTTTATTAAGAGAGTAGAAAAATTCAGTGAAAAATTATTATTAATTAAAATATTTAGAAAAGTATAATGAAGTATTATTTTGTCTAAATAATA